GGCTCGGGAGCCCGCCCCAGGCCCGCCCCTCCCCCTTCCGCCCCGCTGCGGAGCGGCGGGAGCGCCCCGCTCGCCATCCCGCTCGCCCTCCTCTCCCGGTGGTGACGGTGGTGGCGGCGTGCGAGGATGGAGCTGTTCCAAGCCAAGGACCACTACATCCTGCAGAGCGGGGAGCGGGCGCTGTGGTGCAGCCGGAGGGACGGCAGCCTGCAGCTGAGAGCCGGTGAGGGGCTGGGGCCGGCGCCGGGGCGCGCCTCGGTGCCCGTTTCCTGCGCGGGGAAGGGTGGGCCGGTACCCACACACACACACCCGGGCTGGCCTGGCCGGGGGGCGGCGGCGGCGGCCGGGGCGCTGAGGGGAAGGGCGGGCGGGCGGTGGTGGTGACCCCGAGCGCCGCCGAGGTTGCCCGATAGCGGTGGTGGAGGTTGCCCGGGTGAGGGCGGCGGGGCTCGTACACCGGGGGGGTGGCCGCCTCTCCCCGCTCGGCTGAGGCGAGGCCGGGCTGCCGCCCGGGCTCCCAGTGCGGGAGGTGCCGCCTGCCCTGGCACCGCTGTCCCGGCCAGGAGCCTGCCTCCTGCAGCTGGGTTGTGGTTTGTTTGGGTTTTTTTTTTTTGCTCTATATGTTTGTTTCTCGGCAAAACACAGCCCCTGCCAGCTCCCCGCGCGGAGCCCGTGTAGTTTGTCGTGTTGAAAGGCGTCTGGTCACCCTGAGGGGAGCATCACCGAAGGAGAAGGGCCATCTTGTGTTGGTGTTCCAGCCTTATATAAGGGATGCTGGCCGGTGCTCCTGCTCGGTGGTGCCTGCCTCTTGGTCCCTCTCCCAGAAGAAACTAAACAGGTGTCTTCCCTTGTAAATCGCTCTCGGATTTTTTTAGTGGCTGTAGGGAGTGTAAGTGACAATCACAAAGAGGGAGGGGTATTAATATCAGGCTGCCGAGAAGGTAGTGGCAACAAAAACTGGAGATAAAGCGAGTCGTCTTAACGGAGATTTCAGAACTGGTAATGATAATATCCTGTCTGGGAGGTTAGTCAGTAAAGATGCCTATAAAATGAAATGCCATCCCTAGAAATTAGCCCTGAGTAATAGATGTAACTTAGCAGTAAAGGACTGTAGTGTACTTGCTCAAAAGTTAAAAAAAATACTCTAAGTAGCTGGATTGTTCACAAAGCATATGGCAGGTTGCACAGATGTTACTTGCAACTTTCTAAAATTGGGATCCATGTTATGCCAAAAAAGCCAGTTAAGCGTGCCTATGTTCAGGTTGGCTCTCTGAGTACAGTGCACTTCGTGAGCTTTTTTAAAAGGCTGGAATAACTTTATATGTAAGCATGAAATACCATTGTAATCTAATCTGTGTTTATCCAAAAAATTGTTTTTCATACTGGTCTGTCTTGTATTATGTTTTCATACTTGAGTCATGCTAATGTTTTAGTCTTGTCAGTGTGATTTGTTTACATCTCTTAGATATAATTACTGTCTATCTCAACTTAACATGACTTAAACTTGTCCGGCAGCTTCACTTATGGTTCAAAGTCCAGTAATACTTTGATTTAGAAATCATCTTACAAAATAGTTGATGTTAACCTAGCAAACAGTACTACTAGTCAATGAAATGCATGTTTTTGCATGGAAAAAACCCGTCAGTTTTAGATTTGCTGTAGTTTATAATCATGTGCATGGACATAAAAGCTCTTACTTGACCCAGAGTAATAATAGCATAAACTAGTGAACTGCAGTTCTGGAGACTGTTGTTTGAAAGCTTTAATTTTAAAAGCATCAATCGCTTGTTTTCATGCAGCCATTGCTGTGATTTATTTTTTTTTTTTTTTTTTTTTTTTTTTTTTTAAATTCCAATAACTTCATGGAGGCTTTGCCAGTGCTGGGCAGTTTGTCTGCATGCTGTTCAGCAGGATTTTGTCCTTAGCTTGCTTTTAAATTTTCAGCTGGTATACATGTGATCCCCATTGTGTGTGACCTACAGATTAATGGAAGGTAATGCGATATTGAAGTCTCTTGGTGTGCTTGAAACTCTTTGATTGTTAGTCACGCTTTCCTATTTCAGTGTGTTTGTAGCTTTGTTTTTTCAACCCTGTCTGTGGATCATCTTATTGAGAGTGGGCTCTAGGACTGTGAAATGAAATACCTTAGTCTGTTGAAAGTAAACCTGAGAAAAATACATCTTGCAAGAGAACTGTTTCTCTTGGATCAACAGCTCTTGCTTGTATTAAGGCAAAGCTGGATGTCCTCAAGTTTACAATTTTATTATGTTTGACCATTTATAATCAAGGCCACTGACCGGAAATGAGTAAATGGATTACTGTGGGATGAGTCACTGCCATATTGAAAAAAAACAAAGTCATAACTTGTGTTCATTGACATGTTTAATAGTCTGTCAAGAGACTATAATCGAACTATGTGTCTCTACTTGCTTTTGGAGGCCTCGGTTTTATTCCGTCCCACAGAGACTGCTTGGGATTAATCTTCACACATTTATGGATTGAAATAGATAATAACTAGCAAACCTTGCAAAGTCTTGCTTTATATGATCAGTCTAAAGCTAAAGAGCTGACATTAAGCTTTATAATACTCTCCTCCCTCAACCATAAAGGCATGTACAGAAACTTACTAAACTTGAAAGCTGTATTTCTGACCTCTTTGGATCATGGAGAGAACAGCTTGAGTTAAAAAAGGCAAAAAACCTTGGTAAATATTAGCTATTAGCAAAGTCTGAGGCTGACCCTACTTTGCAGGATGTCTGCCTGTGTTTACAAGATGTATCTGGGGTGTGTGTGTGTGGTTTTTTTCTCTGAAGTGAAAGCATTAATGAGTTACCTGCAGGAAAATCCATGAATCACTTTGACATCTTACGTTTTGTTAGGAATTTAGCTGTCTACAGGGTACTTTTTTCAGTGTAGTGAAAAAACACATGTTCAACCGTGCTTTAAATAATTTACGTCAGATCTTTATTGGGATTTCACTCTTGGTTTACTCTGCTTATGCCTGGCTTGGCTGCTCTTGCCTGGTAGTTCTACATAGATTATGAACATCATTTTATTGGTATAAATTATGTATTTATATATGCATGTGTATACACGCTCTATAAAAAAGAGCAAAAGTACTGAAGACACTGGATTCTTCCTGCCATTTTCTTATCAGCAGAAGGAATGAGATTATTTCATGGAGTAAGAACTTCTGTTTTCATTGTGTTGGCCTTCGTAATATTCTGGGCAGTAATGCCAGTCTAAACAAGATTGGGAGTAGTTGCTATTAAAACCAGTGTAGTAATGCTGGTTCCCACCACACTGGAAAAAAAAATCTACCAGATATTTTGAGTGATAGATTGGAATTATTCTAATGCAATTTATAGGGACTTCATGCTCAAAGACTCCATCACCTCTGCTTGTAAGAGTAAGGTTGTGTCTTACCTCTGAAGCTGTAACTAGAGACAAATGAGCATTTGCTTGTTTTAAACACTTTAAGAAATTAGTGTTACAGCATTGCTGTGAATCAGCAACTGAAGCAATGCCTCTTAATATTTTTCTGTTAATGAGAGACGTGTTACCAAACAGTATTCTTGGGGTATCCAGGGAGACGTTGCAGGTTAGGTGCTTTGTCTGACAGTGTGAAATCTCTGAATCACAAATCATTAAGGCCAGCTAATATTCTAGTTATGTGTGCTTGCCTTATTCCTCAAAGACATTACAGGAGTCATGCAGAAATTACTTGTCAGGATTCCTGAGCTGTTCTTCATGATTGTAGACTGGAGGAGAAGAGCCATTCCACTGGAGGAGAAGAGCAGTTCCTTTGTTTGAAGTCTAATGGCTGCAAATGCTGAAGTGAAGGCCTTAGTCTCATGCATGGTGTAAGGAGCAATGCTACTGATACCAATAGAAGTATCGGTAGGTTTAAGGCTACAGAATAGTCCTAAGCATGGTTCTGAGTGTTAATTCATGTTACTAAATTATTTCATACAAAACTGGATTTCTGAATTTCAGTAGTATATCTTGGAAACCGCCGATGTATTCTGGAAAATATTCCAGAGGAGATAGTTGTAGCTTTAGAAAGATTCTCTCCATATTTCAAGTTCCTTCATATAGAACCTCAAGCTGTTTTCTGACACTTTTTTTAGCTGCAATGGTTACCGAACTGTTTCTCACCCTTGCCTGCTCATTCTGTTCCCTCTTTTTCATACCCTTTCTTAGTTGTCAGCACAACATAACTTGTGGCATATGTGACAAACCAGATGTCGGAACTGATCTGTATTAGCTGTAACCCAGCAAGAATGTATGCTTAAAAAATCTCTATCAGTTAGTTCCTGTTGCTGCTTGCTCCTTCTCATGGAAGAGAGCAGAGAGGACTAGGGGAGAAGGGTGGGTGCTTTATCTGTCATCTGAATATGACATACATTTGTCAATTTTGTAGCTTCTGAAGGCAAGAACTTCAAATGTATTTACCAGAGATAAAACTTTTCATTAAAAAAGATCTACTTTGTAATTCCATCCATGATTCTTTTTACAGAGCATAGTGAACCTGAAACTGAGACTTAAATTGAGACTTAAATGGGTTGACAGTATGCTACATCCGAACCTGGGGAGAATTAAATAAACCTGGAGGTGAGATGTTTCCTGATTAGTTTCCTGTTGAGGTTTAGTAGCAGAAGAGAAGTTGAATAGGTCTGGAAATGCCAAACTTGTCCCAGCTCAGATGCATAGATGTCTTGGAATTCCTGCCCACACTGAAATGACTTCAGGTTTTAAAGAAATAAATGAAAAACCTTTTAAGCTTGATATGTTGTTGCTTTTTTGTTTTTTCACCTGATGGTTGCTTGCTTGGTGAAGGGAAAAAAGCTTCCCCCTCAGTTAAAATGAATCTGTAATTCAGGTGGATTTTTGTGGCTTGTATTTTGCTAGTGGGGGTAAGACTCATCTTTGATCTCTGATGGGTTAGTATTAACTAAATAGTAGTGAATAGGAAATTGCAGGCTACAACTAAAGTATTTAGAACAGAAGGCACTGACAGGCAGCAACCTTTCAATTAAGAATTGAAGGGTTCAATTAAGAAGGGTCTGCATCTGTATGCAGGGCTGTGGTTTTTCAGCCTGTGAATGCTCTACTTAAGTTCTTTAACAGTTTTAACAGTGTGGGTGATATTACAGCTGGATGTGTGAGGAAACATTAAAACTTTCTCACTTAAAGTTGTTTTTTTTTAAACTGTCTGAACGG